ATCCAGTTGGATGCCCAAAAGGGTTGCCGTAACCTTCTTAGCTGACCTCATTGCTTTAAATTTAACTGACCCAGCCTTCAATTTAACTTAGAAGTCACAGTTTGGATTGGACCTTTTTTTAAAGCACACTAGCAAGACTAACACAAGTATATTGTCTGCAGCCATCCACAGGTCACACAGACCTGCCTAAATACATTTTGTTTAGTATAAACCCATATATATATGAAATGAAATCCTTATCATTAATTTATACAAAAACCTTATATACTTGTCTTAGTTTCACTAGAATGTCATTCTTGTTACCTAGTGCCATCAAGTTGGTTGAACTTACAGTGACCCTCTGTACACCTCAAGGAAGCATGGCTTGGTCTTGTGCCATCCTTACAACTGTTGTTATGGTTGATTCCATTGTTATAGCCACTGTATTACTTCATCTAGCCAAGGGTCTTCCTCTAGTTCGGCGACCATGAAGTTCTTTTCTAGGAACTGGTTTCTCTTGATAGCATGTTCAAGCTATGTGAGACAAATTCTTGCCATCTTTGCCTTTAAGAAACGTTTTGGCTGTACTCTTCTCTCAAGAGAGATGTATTTGTTCTTCAGGCATTCCATCATATATTTACTACTCTTTGCCAACACTATCATTCAAAGCAATCAATTCTTCTCTGAGTTTCCTTACAGAAATTATTCACCTTTAACATGCAATATGTGATGTGATTGAAACTGCTACGACTTGGTTCAGGTGCACCTTAATCCTCAAAGGCATCGCTTTGCTCTTCAACACTTTTGATATTTAAATTGTGTATCAACTTGGCTGGGTGGATTCTCAATGGTTTGGCACTTAAAAAATACTAATTCCCTATTATGTAACTTAACAGAATGTAATCACCTCCATAATGAGATCCACTATGAACTGTCAATCAGTTATAAATAGATCTGGTCACAGCCCTGATATAATTGAAAGTTTCCTTGGTAGCGTGACTTGCTTCCAATGTAAGTGGACACTGGAAACACTTGATTTGCTTTTGCTAAATACATGGATGTACCCCCCAAAAAACCAAAATTATGCTGGGCCGAGAGAAGCTTTTGGAGTGTGCATTTTCCCACTAGGCAAGCATTTAGCCACTTGCTCTGAGTGATTGCACCCAGTTGCATCACCTGGGAAGGTTCTTTCTGGTAACTGAATTTTTTCATAAGAGCAGTTTCACTCACACTGCTTTTTGTGATGGCTGATTTAAGAGAACAATGTGCTGCTGTGGAATTTTGTTTCCTGCTCAGGAAAACTGCTGCAGAACTGTTGTGATGTTGAACACAGCTTACAAGAACAGTGTTATGCGGAAAACCCAATTGTATAAGTGGTCTTCTTGTTTCAAAAAAGGTGAAATGTCCATTGATGGCAAACTTCATCTGGATATCCGTCAACTCCCTGAATGGATGAAAATGTCAACTCATAGTGCTTTTGGAGGTTTTTCCATTCTAAAATGGCTGCATAACTGTGTGACAATAAAAAAAAAAAAGAACTGGCTTTGTGGCAGACAGGGACTCGTTTTGCCACCATGACAATGCACCTGCTCACTCAGCACTCTCAGTGCACCAGTTTTGGGCAAAATACAGCATTCCTCTCTTCTCCAGTGCACCTGACTCACCTGCGACTGCTTTTTGTTTCCGTGAATGAAGAGGAACATGAACGTGCAGCCATTTGACGACATAGAAGAAGTGAAGAAAAAAAAGGGTGGTGCTATCAGTCATCCAAACAGATGAGTTTGAAAAATGTTTCCAAGGACAGAATTGCAGATTTAATAAAGTGTAATGAAGAGTACTTTGAAAGTGATTGTTTTGTAAAAAAAATTGAAATACATAGATTTGAAAAAAATTCCAGTTTGGGAGGGGTACCCCTTATATATATCTTGCATCTGGCTCATTGTCTTCTGGTTCTGTGGGCTTGAGCCAATGGCCTGCCATATTGCCTCCCAGTCCTAAGAATCAACATCAGCATGAACTGCTGACCTTGGACTCATTCACCTCTGCAGGGATGAGCCTGTCTTCTTCCTGTGGAATTTGGTTTCATCGTCCTCTGCAGCTATGTGAGTCTGGGGAAGCCTCCAGTTTAACATCTGATCCATGGACTTGGGACCTACCTGGGCTTGAACTTGCCCAGTCCTACAATTGTATTAGCCATTTTCTTGAGACAAGTTTCTATATATGTATACATCTATAAGTGTCGCTGGTTTTGCTTCTCTAGGGAACCCAGCCTAAGACAAAACTTTCCGGAGATCTGCGCACTTTTGCCCAGTGCAATACTTGGTTTGCTTTCTTGACTGGTGCTTGCAGGTGCACTGATTGTGGATACAAGTGAAATGGAAATTCTCCACAATTTCAATCATTTTTTGCTTCCATGTATCACTATGTTGTCTATTAATCCATTTGTGAGGTTTTTGGTCTTCTTCACACTGAGTTGTAATCCATACTGCAGACTATAGTCCTTGATCTTCTCAGCAAAGGCATCAAGTCCTCCTGGATTTCAGCAAGTGTCACCTATTATCCCATTAATTTCATAGAGTCTAGCTTCTCTGATAATTTGCACAGAATATAGATTTAATAACTATGGTTAAATGAGCCAACCCTGAAGCACACATTTATGACATTAAACCATGGAGGATTCATGTGTTCTTTTCCACAACTGCCTTTTTTTATAGTTTCTGCATCAGGAAAATTAATGGTTCTGGAATTCTCATTCTTCGCAAGGTTATACATACAATTGAACGACTTTGCATAGTCATTCACACACTAGTAATCCGCTTCTGTTATTGTGTGCTTTCAGCTGAGATGCATCTGCTATCACCAATATGCATGCCTTGTTCCAAATGCTTTTCTGAATGTGGTTGAATTTCTGGCAGTTTCCTATCAATGTAGAGTTGCAGTCATTTTTGGAGATTTCCTAAAATCTTGATAGATTTTGCTCAAGGACACAACTATTAAGGAGAGATGTTAAGAAAGTAGAAAACTGTGTTAGTTAGGAAAAGGTCAGTAAAGCTGCACTAAGAATCTTTTTCCAAAAGACAATGTACTTTGTCAACCTTTGAGATTAGCAAGAACTGTATTATGAGAACTTTGATGGGATAGCTTCCTTCATCCACTCTGTTCCCCTTGTGTGATACCTTGAGAACTCCCTTGTGTTCCCCAAAACTCAAACAGCATTGAAAAGGAGTCTCTAAATGATGCCACATTGGTCATTTTTATGTAATGTAAATCAAAGTGTGCAGATTTCTTCGGGAAAGGGTTTGAGAGAAGGCAACGGTGCCTTTCAAGGTAAATAGTAATCAGTGGAGGATGTCTAGAAAAGTGATTTCACCTTTTGACACTTTTGATTAATAAGAGACCTATGATTTTGTAACCATATTATTTGATTTCTACTCCTTTACAGAGGGTAGAATTGCTTGATAGTGTTTAAATTTCCAAATGACCAAGGCAATAGAGATTTAGAAATATGATACCTGGGACCAAATGTAAGTCCATATGCTGAAAAATAAAAGATGTTCAGAATGATTCTTGATTAAGAACCACATGGAGCACTCCTGTAAATAACCTGTCATCTCCCCTAATTCCAATTAGTATATTTCCTAAAATAATTTTTATCTTGCCACAGATTTGTTCCTTGATATGAGTTTAATGTAAAGTATTGAATGTCCTAAATGGAAGTAAAATTTGTATATTAGTCTTTTATAACCTATTAAAGCTGGAGATTCATTCATTTCTTTTGCCATGGTCAAATAATATCAGAACCAATGCATTGATCCATTTTTAACAGCTTGTATATGCTTAGCAGCCTATAGATAATAGTAGAAATGTACAGACATGTCAACGCACCTTAACAAAAAGGAATCTTTCTTCCTGATTAAATTGCTCAGAACATATTATTTCAAAGATTGTAAATTATATTTGAAATTTTATTGTTAATAACATATAGCCAATAAGAATTTGATCGTTAATTACTAATCAGATATACAATTGAATTTATATCAGAGAGAAAATAAAGAAGAAAAATAGTTATGTAAGTATATTTTCACCTTAATATTAATATTTCCTTGCATACAAATCATTTTGAAAATTAAGTAACATAAATCTACTATCAAATAGGTGAAGGAAATCTTAAATATAAAAGAATCAGACTTCACTCCAACAGGATAACACATATACAAAAAATATATATTGTCACTGGGAAAGTAAATTCATGAATTCATATTTCTTAGCTTTAGAACAAATATACCCTAATTATGACATCTCTAAATAATTGAAAACAACAACAACATACCTCCTTTTACCAAGGTCTGGCCATTTTCAATGTCTTTAATGGCAGTGCATATACAAGGCTGAATGCTGTTTCATGATTTCAAAATGCTGCTACCATATTCATCATCCTAATCCTACATCTTCCTGATCATTCGTAACATTTCCAATTCATGAAACTTACATAAGTCATTTCTTTGGTGGTGCTTGGCAAAGAGAAATAGCCTACTATGATTCAGACATTTAGAATTTGGTGAAAACTACTGTTAATTGAAACTGTCAAAGAGATTACTGTCAAAATATGAAGATGCTGGAATTCTAGTTATAGGAGATTTAATGTTATCATGGGTGCAAAGGAAATTCACATTTCAGAGATTTTTTTACTAAATAAAATTCCCTAATGATAATATCCATAGTGAATAACAGGGAATTGTAGTGTAAAGAATTGAAGAAAAGAGAGATCCTGAAACAGAGTCTAGATAAGAAAACAGGTGAGGGGTGATTATTTGTTTTATGGGTTACATGAGAGACATTTAAAAGTTAATGTAAAAATCCCATTCCTTTTAAATTCCACCTTTCCATGTACTTTTTATAGCTCTCTAATAAAATACCCTATATTATATATCCCAACCATACGTAAGTAGAAACTATTTAAATCACAGCCATCTATTATTTGCTTTTCTCTCCGCCTGTTTGTTTGTTTGTTTTGCATTCAGGAAAGAGATAAACAACTTTTAAGGGAAACTTCTAGTCATCAATTGAATCCAGAACGCTATGTACATAAATTCAAAGATTTATCTAATTTCTCAGGAGTCATAAATGTCACCTATCGCTACCTAGCTGTCACACCTTTACAAAGAAAACGTAAGTATCCTTAGAATGTTACATGACATATACACAAAATGTGTTGTTTCAAAATAGTAATATGTTGCATTTATATGGTGTTAAAAGTTTAAGAACTTTGCTCATATTTTTTGAGAAAGTCTTTAATGGTTCCTAGATTTTAAACAAACATAGCTTACTTGAGAATGCAATTTCTCATGCATTCATTTCCTTTAATAACAAAACATTAAAATCCCTATGTATAGTGTAAACATTTCAATAGTTTGCTATAGAATTATATAGAGAGACTGGGGAAATAAATTTAATAGGGTAATTTCTAGTCCAAATATTCCTATATTATAAATTCTATAAATTCTATAAACTTTAAGGGTTTTATCTTTATTTTTATGAGTTATGAATAAATGAAAAAAGTACGCTGGGAAAAAATGTTTGAAGCCAAGAAAAATTGTAATATATTTCATAAATTCTAAGACACTAAAGATTATAAAAAGGATTATTATCTAATTTTAAGACTACAGTCTCTCTTTACGTCCTGCCGAGTACATGCATATATAAACCAATATTGCGGTTGGTAGGTACCATCAAGTCAGTTCTGATGCAGAGTGACTTCATGCACAACAGAACTAAAGACTACCAGGTCCTGTACCATCCTCACAATTGTTCCGAGGGTTAAACCCAATCTTTTTCCTTTTTTTTTAGTTCCAAGTCTGCTGCTGACCCTTATGTATGTTTTCCGATCAAGTCTGTTGAGGTGCCAAGCCCTATCCCCCAAATCAGAAGTCTATCTTGGTTACCTTACTCCCCTTGCTGCCCTGTTGCACTCCTATTGGACAAAAAGTACAATGGGCAGAGAGGATAAGTTACTGAATGCAGAAATCCCGGGTTGAGGTCCAAGCCATTTGGCAGGGGTCTTGAACCCATTCTTGAAGGCACTGTGTCAGTCTGTCTTCTGGAGGGCCTGTCCTGCTCCAGGGACTGGTATCTCCTGACGACATGCCCAAAGGAGGCAACACAAGTCTTGCCCTCCTTACCCCTTAGGACCATTCCGGCTGTCCTTCCAAGGCGGATTTGTTGGTTCTCCTGGCAGTCCATGGTCCTTTCAACGTTCTTCTCCATCACCAAAATTCGAATGCGCGGATGCTTCTCAGTCTTTCTTATCCATCAGTGTCAAACTTTCACATGCAGAAGAGGCAGTTGAAAAGACCGTGGCTTGGGCCAGGCACAACTTAGTCCTCAACGTCCTTGCTTTTCAATACTCCGACGAGGTCTTGTGCAGCTGATTACCAATGAAAATCATCATTTGATCTCTTGACTGCTGCTTCCAGGAGCATTGATTGTGGATTCAAGCAAGACAAAATCCTTGACAACTTCAATCTTTTCTCCATTGATCATGATGTTACCTGTCAAGCAGTGAGAATCTGGGTCTTTACATTGAGTTGCCAATATTGAAGTTTGCAATCCTTGTAAGGAGACTAACAGCACTACATCTGAGTGGTGGATAATACAGTACATCCCATTCTATACTCCACTTGTGTATTTGAAAATCTCATTTTCCTTTCTCTGATCAATTAAGACCCAAACTACTCAAGCAGTGTTTCTCTCTCTAAACCCTAGCCCCGCAGGATGAAATCAGCGAAGATTATCCAGAAGTTTATTAATCCCCATGTTTACCCCACTTCACACCACCTAACTTTTCCTCTTCATCTGTGTCTATCAATTTGCTGGAATGAACCACAGAATTCACAAAAACTACGCTATACTCAGTTCAGATGTACTACAAGAACAACAAAAAGATACAAGCTAAGAGATATAAAGGGTAAGGCCTGGGAGGAGTCATACTGCAGACCCACTAAGAAAATGTAGCCAAGTGTATATTTTAATAATAAAACAACACTAGTGGTAAATATACAAACTGATTTTAAAATGTCTTAGTATGACATAATGTAAATCTTATAATTAGTGAAATACTGTACAGTGATTACAAGACCAAATATTAAGACTCCTCATTAAAATGTGTGAAGAATACACATTTGAGCTTCCTATTAAGAAAGGTTTATACAAAGAGCTTGTGATCTCTAAGGTGAGGAAATTATGACTTAAGTTAATTTAGACTTCTTTAGCTCTATCTTACTTTTATTTCACCAATTTAATTGTATTTGCTCTCAAAGAACTTTCTAATTGTGTAGGACTGCTGCTATGATTTCCTATCTGCTACACTACCTTTGTTCCAATACTACTAATTTCTCCTTTCCATGCTAAATTTGCTACTGTCTACTGGCATACAAAAGAACTCTTCTAGACTAACGAGAGAATAAAACAGAGAATAAGAGCAAAAGAGTTTAAATGTTAGTCCTTCACAGCATACTAAGTGTGATTCTTTGCACATCATTTCATTTCACCATGATTTAGTTTCCTCATTGTAAAACAGAAATCATAATAGAAAATCTGTGTCAAAAGTCTGTTATGGATATTCAAATGTATATTGCATGTATCATACGTAGACTTCTCCCTCTTATGTGGAAAAAAGCTCTATCATTTTCATCTACTGAGTATTAATGAAATCAGGTGGCTTAACACCTAAAGGTTCTAGCTAATCTCTCTCTAACACATTACTAAGAACTATCTATTTGGATGGGAATGTTTCCATATTCCAGAAATCACAGCATGAGTGTGTGTGTGTGTGTGTGTGTGTGTGTGTGTGTGTGTGAAAGCAATAGTTTGGGTGAATATAAACATTTCCATATTTCCAAAATGGAGATTCAAAACTACCATTTAGTTCTGAATGATGATGGACATGAGTGTCTCAAACATTTTAATGATTTCATAAGAAATATTTAGCTAGCACTTCCCAGAGAACTATCATTTCCCTGAAAATATCCAACTTTTACATTTTTAGTGTGAGTTGCTGAAAAAAACTTCCTTTAAGTATAATTATTATAAAATATGTTTCAAATTGAGAAAAAACATTGATGCCTGAATCTTGAAACAACGTGCTATACATTTGAACAATCATGTAACTTATCAGAAATGCTTTGTGATATTAATTGCTTCTTATATAAAATGCAGGATAAAATTAAAATTTTTAAGTCCAGTGATGATTTCTACTGGCTTAATAGCATGTAATAACTAAAAAAAGAGAAGAAAATATATATAACATTTCTATGAAAATAGGATTATTAAAAACTGAGTTATCTTTTTAAAATAATTTGAGGCTAATTTGTCAGCTTTACATTTGAATTCCCTTTTTCTTTGACAGTTATTTCTTACAACTTTTGTGTTAACCAAATATATATCTGCATGGGCATGTATGAGAACATTATACTACAGAACACATCACCATTTTAATATTGTATGAACAAATGGTTATAGAAATAAAGCTCATACTTCAGTGTACTTAAGATTAAATATATTTTCTAAGAAAAACAATTATATGTGAAGTCCTTAAGCATTTATGCAGTTTAATAATTTGATTTTTGAAATATATATTATTTTTTTCAGAAATTATTAACATAGTAGCAAACCTAAGAGCAATATTATATAAATTTTCCCCTACGATTTGCAAAACCTAGTTCTCTTTTAATTTTTCCTCCTCCTTATTTATTTTGCTTAGGATACCTTACAATTGGACTTTCATCAGTGAAACGAAAAAAAGGAAACTATTTACTTGAAACAATCAAGTCAATATTTGAACAGTCAAGTTATGAAGAACTAAAGGAAATTTCAGTGGTGGTCTCTCTATCAGACTTCAATTCATCCTGGCGTGAGGCCATGATCCAGGAAATTACAAAAAAATTTGCCCACCACGTTATTGCTGGGAGATTAATGGTTATACATGCGCCTGAGGAATATTACCCAACCCTGGATGGCCTTAAAAGAAATTACAATGACCCAGAAGATAGAGTCAAATTTCGTTCCAAGCAAAATGTAGATTATGCATTTTTGCTTAATTTTTGTGCCAATACATCAGATTATTATCTAATGCTTGAAGATGATGTCCGATGTTCAAAAAATTTCTTAAGTGCCATCAGAAAAGTCATTACATCCCTAGAAGGAACATATTGGGTAACCCTTGAGTTTTCTAAGCTGGGCTACATTGGAAAACTCTATCATTCTCATGATCTCCCACGTTTGGCACACTTTTTATTAATGTTTTATCAAGAAATGCCTTGTGATTGGCTAATGCCTTATTTTCGGACTCTGTTGGCTCAGAAAAATGTGATCCGCTTCAAGCCATCTCTCTTTCAGCACATGGGTTATTACTCATCATACAAAGGCTTTGATAACAAGTTGAAGGATGATGATTTTGAAGAAGAGTCTCTAGACATTCCTGACAACCCTCCTGCAAAACTGTACACCAACATGAATGTGTTCGAGAATTATGATGCCAGCAAGGCTTATAGCGGTGCCGATGAGTACTTTTGGGGGAAACCACCAACAACAGGAAATATCTTCTTAATTGTGTTTGAAAATCCAATTATAATCAGCAAAATTAAAGTGACTACTGGAACAGTAGACCGGCAAAATGAAATTTTGCATCATGGAGTACTAGATGTTGGGGAAGAAGCGATGGCTAGCAAAATAGGGAAGCAATGTGTTACTTATTTAAGACTAGGGGCATTCAAAAATGGGAACTTTGAGATGGCAGATGTGAACCAAAAAGTTCCATTTAATATTCATTGTATAAGGATACATGTCACCAAAACACAAAAAGAATGGCTGATTATCAGGAGTATTAGCATTTGGACTTCTTAGCCCATTAAAGAAATGAGTTCCATTACAGAAACAGGTCTCCCCGGTTCCTTTGTTGCTACCTTCCCCTTTTGCTACCTTTGTCTTTTGGAGGGAAATCGATGAGTAAAATACATAAAAAGAAATGCTAGGCATTGTGGCAGTTGTGTTTTAAACGTCACCAACATAGACTGATTCTAACCCCCTCTTGTAATTATTTTAATTTCTGAAGTTGAATAGCAGCTCATAGTTAATGGCAGACACGTAAAAAATTCATAGAAAAATCCTACCATCAATTCCATTTTAATACACCTTTTGAAGATACCCCTTCAAATATTGATATTATTGTGGTTGTTTGAAAATTGTAACTGACTTTTAAAAGGGTGGTATACTGAATTGAAAATGACAAAATAAATATTGTTGGATGAAGATTGTTGTAAAATGCTGCCAACTGTACACACTTCTTAAGAGTAAATATATCATCGAGTAGCTCTTATTAAGCATCAGTGTGAAGATGCAGTTGGTTAGAATGATGGTTTGATTCATTTTTCCTTATAAACTTAAGTTTCCATTGACTTCTATATGTTTACACTCAATACCTCTTCATAGAAATTATGCCTTTGCTACAGAATTTTGTGCGTGGGTGGGCTATGATGGGAGGACAAAATTAACACTGTCTCCCCAGCATATTTATATGAAAGGGGACACTGTTAACTATTTTAAAGAATTTAATTGAGCACTATTGTTAATAATGTTTCTGTGGGAAGCAGTCTTTTCTAGTTTCCCTTTTGCAAAAAATAAATAAATAAAAATCGGTGAAGTGATTATGTTCAGGTTACATCGTGTACCTGCATTTAGTAGAAAAAGTTAGAGAAGATCTATAATTAGTTAATTATTATAGATCTTTTCAGTATATGCAAAAAAACTTTTGAAATTGATTTTATATGTTTTGTATTAAAATTTATGTGATTAAAATTATTGTGGGTTATCATATACTTTTTTGAAGTTCAAATGGATATATCAGCTTATACAGGAGCAAAAACTAAGAAGCACAGAAATGGTTGGCTTTCCTAGACTCAAATAATTATTAAACAGCAGAGTGATAATGAGAGGTCATATGTTCTAACCTCGAGACAATGCTCATTCCCAAGTATCAAGTTGGTGACTCATATAACTTATGCTTTTCTTTTTTCTTTTTTTCCCACCTATTTACTACATGAGCCTCAGAAAATAAGTTATAGTTTCTGGAAATAGATGCTGTAATTCTTCTATAAAGCATATCATCTCCTTGTGGAGTAATACTAACATACCCTCAACGATGCTCTTGCCATTTCTGTATCTACTGGCAACGAGCAGCCTTGAATGAAGGTAAGCTACGGGGCTAGACAGTGGTCTGTGTTCCAGGTGTCCATGACTGTAATAATGGCACCTGAGTGCATTTTTAGGGTACCCTGAAGACATAGGTTCTCAGAACGTCCTCAGTTTGACTCATCTTTTCTATTTACTTCTTGAGTGACATGGATAAAATAATTTATTATGGAAATAAATATGGAGTATGCTTTATAGATGTTACTGAAACAAAAATATGCTGACAGTTGAATTTGTATGCTTAATTGTATACTGATGAGGACTGACCATGGTGAGAACGAATGAACAATTGTTTCTGCTTCCATGGTATTTCAAAACACAATCCTTATATTTCACTGGTAAACTACAACACCCCTCCCCACCTCACCCCGCCCCCCCCCAAAAATGAGAAGTCTTAATCACTATCAAAGCAATGATATTGGAAATGCAGATAAAAATTAGTACAGCTTATTGCTGACTTATTGATGCAATTGTGCATTGTCTTTGCACTTCAATAGTATTGGAGAGAGAAAACATGGGTCTGTTTCAAAGAAACATAAGTTCGCTATGTTGTGCCCATCTGTAAGTCATAAGGAAATCTGAAAATTGCCACTAAACTAGTGTCATCATTATACATGTCTCAGAAAATTAAAAATAATTCTTTATTTACTAAACTTCCAATGGAAAAATGTACACAACTGTCTTCCAAAGATGAATAAAGTCAAGATCTATGCAGACTCTATGAAGGTCAGTTGCAAACATTTACATATGTCTGGGAGTGTATTTCCAATGACCAGCCATTGGCCAGATATATATATCCAATCCTTGAAAATGTTTAACCAAAGATTGTATGGGGTAACACTAAATTTAATGTTTCCTAGATAACTATAAATGCAAATGTTATGGAACAATTCTTAAATTTATCAATATTGAAAATAATTTTGAACAAGCTGGTCAATCTCCTTAGAATGTGTCTGGTTTCTTTACAGATCAACATTGAGCAGCTTTCTAAGGGTGTGTATTTGGGGGTGGGGTGGCGAAGAAAATCTTAAAATAAAAGCATCTTCACGAAGGATTCTGAACTATAGCCTCACTGCCACGGAGTTGGTTCCTCCTCCCATGGTCCCTATGAAGCAGGCCAAAACCTCCTCATTAGCTTTCTGAATTGTTTCTTCCACTGAGCTGCTGGTGCAGTTAGGAAGACCTGTCTTGAAAAGACTATCTGATGACCAGTTGAATCACATAATTACCATATTTTAAAATTCTGAATAGGACTCCAATAATCTGACTTCAGAAGCAGTGGGAAAAGATAGTTATTAGATTTAACTATATTCAATCTTTTCTAGGCATTGTGCTATCTTCGTCATTATAAAGTAAGTTACTTTCTTATACCTTTGTTTGTTAAATGTATTCTCAGAAGAACTGGAATGAGCCATAAATGGTCAGCTATCATTTGATTATTAGGATAATATGGTGCTGACTGCTTTCAAATAGAATAAGGCCTACATGTTAATTAGAGTCTCAAATGTATATATTAGTGGAAAACCAACTTAATTACATTTATGTTTTTCCTTAAGAAGAAAGTGAGCTGGTTTTATTTTAGCATTCATGGATATTAAAGACAAGCATCATATCAAAGCAGAATGAATTTGGAAAATATGCATTTGTTTTGAAAATATACATTGAACAGCAGCCATAAATGTGGATTTTTTAAGTGCATCACTATAGGCATGATTAACGATTTCATTGAAAAACTACTACCATCTGAAATTTATAAAGTAGATCTTTTCCAGGTACAAGAATACCATTTGGAAACAAATGTATCATTTACAATGATTTAATTCATGTGTCCACAGGGGGGAAATTAGGACATTCTCTGTATTATTGGACCGGTCTTGTTTGGGAATTCTTTGTAATGCCATGTATAGCAGTGGTATATTCAAGAAAGCCTAGAAAGTCTCATGGTTATCAATTCAATCCTGACCCATAGCAACCTTCCAGGGCAGAGTAGAACTGCCCAGAGAGCGTCCAGGCCTGCAATCTTTTCAGAAGAACATTGTCACATCTTTCTCCGCAAGCCACTTGTGGGTCCAAACTGTGGACCTTTATCAGGTGAGTGCTTCTTGTCTTAATTAAGCAATTATTTACTACCTAATAAATTACACTATTATATGTGGTAGCAAAAGTACCTGTTCTCCTTAATTCTCACATGGCACTGTTTACTTGATATTTGCCAATTTTTCAAAGTCTCTTTAAGAATATACTACTCAGGTTTAAAATAAAAAATGTTACTTTCAATATTATAACAATTGACCAAAAATAAGTGAAGCGTAATTCTCTTCCTTTTCCTGGACACTATTCCTTGATGCAAGCTAAGATACATTCATTTTCTTACCGTCATACTGGTGACTAACAACCTACACTCAATTTAAACTGTTATCTATTGATAAACAGTTATTTACCATTCTTGACAGTGCAATTTATTTTTTGAAAGTTTCTTGCAAGATTTCTGCTTCTTTTAATCCACAGTTCCATTTTTCTCCCAGCTTTTGAATCTACCATCCAGTGGTATAAATTAACATAATTTCTCAACTTTGCTTCCACAGATATGATTTTTATTCCTTTTGTCCTCAGAGGAGATGCAGCAAGACAGTGTTGAAGCGCGGAGGTGAAGCCTAGTTCTGTAATTACTGGTGATTTACAGCTTCCGAAACGCTACAGAGAGTACTTATGAGAGGGAATCAACTTGATGGCCTGTTTTAATTTTGTTTTGCTTTTGTTTCACACAAGAAAATACACTTAATCTTTTTGAAATTCAGTTCCTTCATTGTGACACAGGAAACACTGTACAATGCAGGCAGTTAGGCGCCTCAATTGAGCTAGTGAACTCTAGAAAAACCCAACTTCACTGCCATTGGGTTGATGGAGATACATAGCAACCTTATAGCTGGGGTAGAACAGCCTCTGTGACAGGTTCTGGGATTGTAACTCTTTGTGGGAATAGAAAGCCCGTCTTCCTCCCTGTGGAGTGGCTGGTGGATTCAAACTGTTTCTCCTAATCTTACAATTAGTAATTTATAGATTAAGAGCGCACTCTCTCTCACTTCAATCAAATATATTTTAAATAATATGGTCCCGTAAGCACTACCAAGAGTATTTATCCTGATTAGAAGTAATCACATAATTCAAAGATCATTAGAAGTATAAGCCAACCCATTTAAAAAGTATTTTGCCCAAAAGAATGTCACACAGAATTGTGTAAACAGCTTTCAAATTCAGGGTATATTTCATCTCTAGCACTCTAACCTAATCCACTACTGTACAAACATTACAAAATGTATAATTTATTCTTTTTTTAAGTGTATGAAAGAGCTTTATATCAAGAAGTCAATATATATCAAGAAAAATATCCCAGCCCAGTCCACTCAAGTCGATATGTCCAATCCTAGTCCATAAGTCCCTCTTCAGACCCACAAAGCCACACGCTGTGATACAGAATGCAGGAATCACTGGCCAGTGGGTGCAAAGTCCCATAAATCCAATGGCAGTGGCTCTGGTAGCTCTCCAAGTGACTCGATAGCAGGAAGGTGAAGGCAGCAGGGGTGGCGGGGTGGGGTGGGGGGCGCACCATCAGGCTGTGACCTGATTGACAGGCTAGACTCCAACCTTACACTTCAAGTTGACATGAAATTATGTAACTAACACAATTGTGTTGTTTACATTTTCTATAACTTTGTTGTGTTTCTTTCTAGTTCTGCCCTTTCTTGAAAGTGGTGTGCTTACAGTCTCCTACGATTATGATGGAGTTGTCAATTTCTCTTGTCAATTCTGCTCTGTTTGCGAGTGCTTTCTTTTTTTGTCATTTAAAACAATATATTTTATTGGAAAATATTTGCATATCATACAATTAAATAGTTCAATCATATTCAGAAGAAGTGTACAATTATCATCATAATCAATTTCAGAAAAGATTCTGACTCATAGCAACCCTCAGGCTGGGGAGAACTGGTGGTGTCAAACTGCCAGCCATGTCCAAACATAACCACTATGGCACCAGGGCACCCTATTTTAAGCTATAGCCA